ACTAATTCATCATCTTGAATTCTTTCAATATTTACAACTGTGACTGAACTGAACTAAATTCGTCTCATTCTAGCAACACAACAAACCCTAAACTACAGCTTTAAAAAATGAAGGAGTGGGCCTTAGTTGTCACTACTCCTGGCTTAAATTCCTACCACAGTCCTCCTGGGTTCAAAGTATCTCTGTCATCTAAATGATAAACAGGTTTTAGGATTTGAGAAGAACCAGGCTGAGGCCTGACCTTGACAACCAAGCCCCAGAATGCTTCTCATCCCTGTATTCATCTGAGACCCTTCCAGTTATAATTAGCTCACTAATCTTTGCTGGCTAGCAGCCATCTACAAAACAGGAATCACCAAGAGTCATAAAAAATTCCAACAAATGAGAAAGCTAACAGGGCATAAATATTTTTTCAGTGACACAGATGTATTTAAATGTCTTCCCTAAAATGTAAGTATTTTAGTTTTTAGTAATTATAAAGGATATTTTTACACAGCTTAGATAATGGCATATTCAAAGTTGTGAAAAATAATACCTCTAAAATTACACTATCAAGGACATAATTTGACCTTAGCTGGCTAAGCTACATTAGTCTCTTCACCATTTATTTATAAATTTCAAATCATTTAGGGAGGTGGTTCTCAGTGCTTTTTAAAAGGAAAATTCCAAATGGCACCCAGTGACAAACCTGGCAAAAAGCCACAGCTGTTGATGATACTGCCACCTCTCAAGGTGATGGCACGGAAAAGGTCTTATCATTTAGAAACTTAGAGGCCTTGCAACAATCCCAGCAACAGAGAAAAACAGGACTAGGAAGGAAATCCCACAGGTAGGCAAAGGTGACCTGCAGACAGAACATACCAACTATATAAATCATGTTGCAGGTCCTACAGAGTCTTCCATAGGAAAGACCCATATCACACCTGAGGAACAAAGATTTAGGGAGATACGCAAAGAAGGCAAACATTTTTTTTGGGGGGGGGCCCAGTAATTATGCTCAATATTAAGTGCTTTTATTAACTGAAAATTTCGAACTTACAGTCAAAGTGCTTGAGGAATAAGATACCTAGCTTTCCTTTAAAGTACAAAGCCAGGGTCTGGAAAGAGTCAAGCCAAGAATAGTAAAGCCCATGTTCTCTGCATTCAAAAAATATATATCCCCTAATGTATACTTAATAACACACAGGTCTATTGAACCCCAAGTACCTCCCATAAGGGAAAATCAATGCACACAATAAAGCACTCAAAAAATACTGGTTACTGATTGAACTGAAAACACACAACTGTATTCACCATCCCCTATACTACCCAAGCCTTACCTCCTTACTGTCCTATCCTCCCCTCCAACCCCCATGCAGCTTTAGTGTTTTTCTTTTAAACACACCAACTTCCAAGTAACCAGGCCTGAACATTAAATTTGGAATATGAAAACTAAGAACGATTTTATCTGTCTATGCTTATTTCTGTTGATGGCATATATTTTGAGTAGCAATGCTATCTGAAAGGCCATCATTAGTTTAGGGAAAAAAGTAAAATTCAGCCCATTCATGTAATACAATTCATATCAGCTTCTCAATACCTTTGAGGCATAGGCACTAACACCCAATGGGAGGGAAGGGAGGGCTGGAGATTGAATCCAGTGTCTTACCCATGCCAAGCACGTGCTCCACTGCTGCACTCTCAGTTCAATACCTAATTTTGCACAGGTAGAATTTGAGGTTCAGGAGAGTCTAAGATCACTGGTCAGTAACAGGAATTAAGTCCATACCCTTTCATCCTTCTCAGTATTTGTGTAATTTAAGAGATGTTATAAAAATTACAATCAAAATTATAAGCTAGGCTGACCTCTTGTGTATGGAATGTGTTGGGTTGTGGGCATTTGCTACCCATGACAAATTCTTTTAGAGTACTCACTACTTTTAAGAAACTGTATTTTGGGGGCTGGAGAGATGGCTCAGTGGTTAAGAACACTGAATGTTCTTACAAAAAATCCTGGTTTGAATCCCAGCACCCACAGGGCAGCTAACGACTATCTGTAACTCCAGTTCCAGGGGATCCGACAGCCTCTTCTGTCCTTCACAGGCATTGTACGACACATGTGCACTTACTTACATGCAGGCAATACACACATGCATATAAAAAAATAAATAAAAATAAAATATTTTTTTAAAAAAAGAAACTGTATTTTCCAAGGGAATATGCTATCTTTGCCACAGAAAATGGCAGCCTAGTTGGAGAATGGGCCATTACTATATTCCATTATGTTTTTGGTGTAAGAAGCAGCAAAAGGTGTTGGAAAGGACAGGGTTCTAGATACACTCACAGATAGATGTCTATGCTTCTTACGAGTGCATCTCTGGACATACAACGTTCCTCAGCTGTAAAGTCATGATAAAAATTTACCTCTTAGGGCTCTTCAGAAGCTTAAATGAGACACTATATAAAAACAGCTGTGGTTTAACATTTGTTAATTCTTCCCTTATGAAGTAGTGTGAGCTAAGTACCAATGAATGGCAATATCAAAGTTCTGAGAGGGGAAAAAAAAATTGGAATTGGACTGCTTAAAAAAACAAACAAACCAGGGTTGGAGAGATGGTTCAGCAGTTAACAGCACTGGCTGCTCTTGCAGAGGATGGGGGGAGGGAGGGATGTTTCAGTTCCCACCACCCACATGGCAGCTAACAACTACCTAATATAGCAGGCAAAACACTCATATATATAAAATATAAATGAATAAATAAAACAGGGGCTGGAGAGATGACTCAGTGGTTAAGAGCACTTACTGCTCCTGCAGAGAATCCAGGTTCAGTTCCTAGCACTCATCTGGCATCTCACAACCATCTGTAACTCTAGTTCTGGGGATCCAACATCCTCTTCTGGGTCTCTGCAGGTACCAGGCACGCACATAATGCATATACATACACTATCCACATACATACACATAAATATTTAAAAAACAGAAAACCAAGTATGTCCAACTCTTACACTTGAAAACTGATGTGTATAGTCAGCTGTGAAGTTAGCCAATTAGGTTTATACTTACAAGAGTAGTCCGAGATAAGCATATACAGAGTTCATACTTAAAGTACGAAATTTTAACAATAATAAACAGGAGTACAATTATGTTAAAAATTGTTTAAAGAAAGTCATCTTTTGGTGCAAAACTGCCTGTTTAAAAGGAAAACTACTATTTAAGTAAAAGCAGGCAGTAAATAAGTAGAATGTGGCATCTTGAACTGAATCATGAGAACAGTAATCTGAATCAAGCTTACAGTTAATAGTAATACAACTATGTCAACTTCGTTTTAACACGTGCAAAAACGTTTCTGAAAATGTAGACGTATTTCAAATATTTTTAAAAATGTAACTTTTTTCTAATTTTTTAATTATTTTTATTTTATGTGTGTGTATCGCCTGCATGTAAGTGCACCCATGTCATGCAATGCCCAGTAAATAACAAAGTAAAACAACTGATGTACCCAAGTACTCTTTGGTATACTTGTTTTAGAAATCTGAAGCTTGTTTCAACAGCAAAAGCTATAAACATGCCTTAACTCTGCAAGCTAATCTACAAATACTAACTATATATCTTGCGTTTAGTAACTTTTAAAATGCCTAAGAGAAGTGATTTGTTTTCTTTTCCCTAGCACATTTCTACAAAATACTGGTTTTATGGCATTAAATACCATTGCTACAAAACCAGTAAATGTCTAAATTATGTCTGACTTACTATCTTGGATAAGACATTTATTAAATCGTAACATAAGAAGCATCTCTGACCTCATACAGAGCATGAACTTGAAAGTGTAAAGACAATCTGGGCTTAGTGCTAAAGGCAGGGTAAGAAAAGTTCCATCTGTTTCCATAAAATGTAGGCAGTTAGCCGGGCGTGGTAGAGCACGCCTGTAGTCCCACCACTTGGGAGGCAGAGGCAGGCGGATCTCTGTGAGTTCAAGGCCAGCCTGGTCTACATGGTGAGTTCCAGAAGAGCTGGGGCTACAGGGAGACCCTGCTTCAAAAAGAACCCCCCCCAAAAGTAGGCAGATTCCCTTAATCTATTACACAAAATTTAAGAGTTAAAGTGATGCAGAATTCACTAGGGCATTTTTGTTCCCCGGGTAAAATGATGGGCATCACTGGCATAACTCCCATTTTTAAAAAAGCACATCTACCTCTACTGAGAATCACATTAAGTGGTTGTGAACTTAACCGTTTTCAGCAAGATGGCTGAAGCTTTCACATACTGGGGGCTGCAAGGACAGAGTTTAATTATGTATCAGAGGCAAATCCTGTAGTGACAGGTTTAAAGCAGCACCAGTTGCAATGTGTACTCCATACACACGCTTATACAGTTGAGCTGATGTATAGTCTCTAATCCTTTAACACACGTGTGGAATTTAGACGGCAATTTTCAAATTTTAAAGAACCCGTAATAATTATTTCCATATTTCAAAAAAGGAAAAACAAACACAGCAATGCAGCAAAGTCATTTCTCTGGCAGAAATGACCTCCAGCGCCTACAAACTACTCCTGATTTCGCAACAAATGAATCTGAGACTCAATCCACGTACGCACAGAGTAGAAGTGGAGAAGAGAACAGCTTCCTCAACAGTCCTGGCAAAGCCATCTGCCTCCCCCTGCCCTCCGAGTTTCCTTGTTCCACAAAGGTAACTTGTCGACCACAGAGAACAGGAATTAATCAGCAGTCAAAATCCTGTTTTCATCATCACTTGTAGTCACTATCGGCAAAGTCAGAATACTATTAAACCCGATTTTAGAAAGGCAGAACTAACCCAGCAGGGTACAGGGGCACACATGATAACGTACATGAAAAGCCAACCTACCAAGCAGCTCAGAAATCAATATAACCAAAAAGGTTTGTTTCAGAAATGGCATCCCAAGGGAACACCTCCAGTTCCAAACCCACCGCCCAACCTCGCGACTAGCGGGACCCAAAACGGGCTGAAGCAACCCAGGCGACAGGAAGCAGCGCGTCTTACCTTGCACAAATCTCGACATTTTGGGATTTTAAATACTCTGGCTTGCAATTTTTAATTTCTAGGAGTTGAGCTAGAAGGGCAGGTCTCCCTTCCCAGCTTTAACGTGTTCTTTCTCCGCCTATCAGTTTAGCCACTTAAGTATTCGTACAAAGCGATTCAAACTGTCCTTTAAAAAAAAAAAAAAAAAAAAAAAAAAAAAGTCCCCTATGTCAAAGACGGAAACTCGGTGCGAGCGAGTCGACTCGGGAGGGAACTCAGTCCGCTGCGCTCCCGACCCACAACAGGACCAAGCCGCGACTCCGGAAAAGGTAAAGCCCTCGGACTGAAATCCCATCAATGAAGAGGCGGACCCAGAGCCGCTCTCGCCGCCCCCCCCCCCCGTTCTCCACGCCCTCGAGGGCAGGCCTGCCGCACGCCCCCCGGCAGCACCGCGCGGCCACTAGCCAGGGCCCAGCCGTCCTCGGAGGCGGGAGGCCGGCGGAGGGCAGCGCGACCTCTCACCAACCCATAAACAGCCGGCGCCCACCGAACTTCGTGCCCGGCCCTCACGGTTTGCCCCCGCCGGGGACCCGCGTCCTCCGTTCGCCCCGCCGCCCGCACTTCCCGGGAGGCCCGGCCCTGCCCTGCCAGGCTCGTCCTCCGCCTCCCGCACGGCGCTCCCCGGACCCCCACACGGCCCCCCGCCACGCCCCTCGGGCCGCCCCGCGCGGAGGTCTCCGGGAGCGCGGCCCGCCCCGCCGGCGACACCCACCTTCCTAGCCTTCAGAGGCGCCGGGCAGCGCGCTGCAGGCCGAGCGCGTGCGTCTGCGGCGGCCTGCGTTCCTTCCTCACGCACACGCGCGCCCCGCCCCGCGCGGTCACAGCGGCCGAGCGTTCTGTCCACCAGCCCGCCGCCTGGCACCCCAAGCCCCCGCTTTCTCCACACACCTCCCCTCCCCATTCATTCGTGCTGGCCCCCCAATGAGGAAATATCTTTCCGGCTCAGAGCGACGGGCGCGGCCGCCAGTCAGAAGCCGGGCCTAGCTCCAGGCCTGGCCAATGAGACGCGGGGAGGTGGCAGGGGGCGGGGCGTGGGAGGCACAGGGGCGCGGGTGCAGAGGCCCACGTGGGAATCCCGGGGATCGGAGCGGCGGATGCGGTGCGGCCTGGGCTGCTCACGGCCGGGTGCGGCTCTTCCGTAGTGTTTCTACTCGGTCCGGATCCCGGGAACCAGGAGAGAGCGTAAGCGGTTATGGTTGCAACCTTTAAAAACGTGCCTGCGTGCCGAAGAAATCGCGGCGTCTGGATTCGGAGGTCCCCACCGCGACGCTCGGAGACGCCTTTGCTGGCTTAGGACAGAGCTCGGCCCTGCACCGCTTCGGGTTTGAGGAGGCGTCCAGAATTAAACGGTGGCGTCTGTGTGGCCTACCAACAGCGGCACGGGTTATGGGCGTCGAAGAAGGTGCGAGACGAGGCTCTCTCCAGAGCCACCACTGTCCGCCTGGGATCTAGCCCCGGACACGGTGGTGCTGGGATCCACTCGCTGTACACGCTGGTGCCGGGATCTCCTCCCTGTGCACCCTCGTGCTGGGATAGACCCTTTCTAGCCAGTGTGAAAATGGCTTGTAAGCCCTCAAGAGATGTTTTCCTGGTGGCTAGATTCTTGAAATCCTGAAAGGAAACGGTGTTAAAAGATGGACCGTAGACACCAGCTAGGGACTGCAGCAGACCTATCTATTCAGTCACAGCTGGTATTGCTATACATCCTGTGGTCCCTGCCTGTGGTGTTAAGCCTTAGAGTCGCACCTCATGAAGCAAGTAGCACTCATTAAGACAGATGAATTGTCAATGCTCTTTCAAGTTTCTCAGCCAAGTGCTTCCAGATGCATACAAGACTTTGGGTAGCATTATTCAACAGAAGTAACAGTTATCCTCTAAACAAAGGAACTTTAGTTCCACGTGTTTATATGTTAATAGAGAAAAGAGCACTCCTCACTTGTCATAACCATTGTCTATGTGGAATCCAAAAATGTAAGACCCTTCCCAAATCTCTCAGCTATAAAAACAATTTTCTCACCCTTTGCTTCCCTGGGCTGCACAGCCTCGGGTATCCTAGTGCCAGCGTCTTTCCTGGGTAAATCCAGCAGCGCCCACCGGGCCTTGACTACCCCAGCCTCATTCGCCCTCCCAGCTCCCCCCGCCCCATCTCTCCTGGCCTGATACTGGCCCATTTCTTGTATTGGCACCCCAGACACCGGGGCAGAGTCACCAATGCATCCCGATCCTTTGCATCCAGAACAACTCAATTCATCTCTGTGGTCACCATGAGCACTCTGGGCCTGGTCTCACAACCACCTACCTTTGTCTTCCTGGGCAGCTCAGCCACCAGCTTCCGGGTACTAGCATCTTTTCTGGGTAGGTCCGCGTGGGTCCTGCCCATGGAGCCTTGACTCCCCAAGCCTTATTCACCCTCCCAGCTCCCCTCCTAGCCTGGGTACAGGTGCATTTCTTGACTTGGCACCCCAGACCACTGGACTGAATTCTTGGCCCAGAATGCCCACTGCTTCCTGATCTTTGCGTCCAGACCAGTTCCTCCTCATAGTCCCCAGGAGCCCTCAGGGCCTCTTCTCATACCCACCTTTGCATCCCTAGGTGGCACAGCCAACAGCTTTCTGAGACCAGTATCTTTCCTGGGCCCTGCTCCTAGGTCAGCCCAGCCCCCAGATTCCTGAGGGCAGCATCTTTTCTGGAGGGATCCAGACTTTAGGAGAAAACCTGAGAGCATCTGATACTTTGTGGGAACTCCTGAAGATGAAAGCAGTTTGGCCACTCCAATATAAAATCAAAAGAAAGAACCTGAAGCCTAAACCAACCAGCTTTTCATGCCCAACAAGTAAACCACAAAGGCACATAAAGTTTACAAAAAGAAGCAGACATAAACTCAACAAAGGAAGGCTTGAGACACAAGAATCAGAAACTACAAAAGAAATTTGCATGTCAAAACCACAGAGAAAAAATAATATGGAAAACCAAAATAATATACTCCCATCAACTACCAATAAGTCTCTAAAGGAGTACAGTGAGACACCCCTAGACATAACACAGGACATGGAACTAAAATGACAATTATAAACATGAAAAAAAGAATTCAGTGAATTTAAAGAATACACAAAAAAGGAAATCAAAGAACTGAAGGAAGATAGGGATAAACTTCTGAATGAATTCAGAAAAGAGAAATATTGAAGAATACTCATGCTGAAATGAAGAAGGAAGTGAAACACTTGGTAAGCCAATTAGAAACAACAAGAGAAAGCTTCACCAGTAGGATGAATGAAATGGAAAACAATATCAAGACTGGAAGATAAAGTGGACAAACTAGACCACTCAAGCAAAGATTATGAAAAATTTAAGAAAACACAAGAATGAAATATTTAGGAATTGTGTGACATCATAAAAAGACCAAACTTATGAACCATAGACATACAGGAAGGAGAAGAATCTCAAGATAATGGTATGGACCTGATCTCCTACATGATTGTAGAAAAAAAAGTTCCCAAAATTAAAGACATGCCCAAATACAAGAAGCACGTAGCATACCAAATAGACAGGACCAGAAAAGAAACGCCTCCATGGCACATCATAGTAAAAACACTAAATGTACACAACAAAGAGACAATACTGAAAGCTGCAAAAGAAAAACAACAAGTCACATATAAAGGAAAACCCATTAGAATTACACCTGAGAATGACCACAGATGTCAACCCAGATTACTATACCCAGCCAAAATGTCCATTGTAGTTGAAGGGGAAAGAAAAATCTTCCACGACATAAATAGGCTGAAAGAATTCATGTCCACAAAACCAGCCCTTCAGAGAGTTCTTGAAGTAATGCAAAGAGCTGAAGAAAGGAACAACTATCCACAAGGGGTTATGGAAAGAAATTCAATGAAGGTATAACTGGAAATGCACAGCTATATCAAGAATGTGAACTGAAATAAAAATGATGGGATTCAATAGACATCTTTCATTAATATCTTTAAATATCAATGGACTGAACTCCCCAGTCAAAAGACACAGACTACTTGGATGAATTAAGAAACAAACCCATCTTTTTGTTGTCTGCAAGAAACCCATCTCACTTTCGAGGACAAGCACTACCTTAAGGTGAAAGGATAGAAAAAAATATTCCAAGTGAATGGTACTACGAAAAAAGCAGGCGTTGCAATTCTACTATCTGACAAAATAGACTTTAAAGCTAATCAGAAGAGATAAAGAGGTCCACTTCATTTTGATCAAAGGAACAATAAACCAAGAAGATATTACGATCATGAACATATATTCACCAAACTCTGGTGCACCCAACTTCATAAAAACAGTACTACAGGACTTTAAGACCCAGATTAATCCCAACTCATTAATAGTAGGGGAATTCAATACTCCATTGTCTCCATTACATAGGTCAACAGGACAGAGAAACAGAGAGACATCTGAATTAAACAATACCATATGTCAAATGGACCTAACAGACATCTATAGAATATTCCATTCAAGCACCAAAGAATATACTTTCTATTCAGTGCCCCATGGAACCATCTCCAAAACTGACCATATGCTGGGGCACAAAACAAACTTCAACAAATAAAGACTGAAATAATTCCATGTATCTATCAGACCATAATGGAATAAAGCTTAAAATCAACACTGGAAGAAACCCTAGTAACCACATGAACACATAGAGATTAAACAACACACTCCTGAATGATGAATGGGTCAAATGAGAAATTAAGAAAGAAATAAGTGTATTCCTAGAACTAAATGAAAAGGACAATACAACAAAACAAAACCTCTGGGACACATTGAAAGCAGTCCTTAGAGGGAAGTTTATAGCTCTAAGTGCCTACATTAAAAAATCGGAAAGAACACAAATAAATGACAGCATTGCAACTCAAGACACTTGAAAAGCAGCAACAAATGAAACCCAAACCGAGCAGAAATAGAAACAAAACAATACAAAGAACCAACAAATCCAAGAGCTGGTTCTTTGAAGAGATAAACAAGATTGATAGACCGCTAGCCCAGTTAACCAAAAGAAAGACCACCTTCAAATCAATAAAATCAGACATGAAAGCAACAGACACCAAAAAGATCTAGAACATTACAAGGGAATACTTTAAAAACCCTATACACTACTAAATTTGAAAACCTAAAAGAGATGGACAGGTATCTAAAGGCATGAGAATCACCAAAACTAAACCAAGAAGAGATTAACAGCTTAAACAGACCCATAGCACCTAACAAAATTGAAACAGTAACACAAAACCTCCCAACTAAAAGAAGCCCAGGACCACATGGATTTACAACAGAATTCTACCAGACATTTAAAGAAGATCTACATTCACTACTACTTAATTTATTCAAAAAGATAGAAATGGAAGGAGAACTTCCAAATTCCTTCTATGAAGCCAGCATCACTCTAATACCAAAGCCAGGTAAAGATACAACCAAAAAAAGAAAGCTATAGACCCATATCCTTAATGAACATAGGTGCAAGAATTATCAACAAAATATTTGCAAACCGCATACAGAAACATATCAAAAAGATCATTCACCATGATCAAGTAGGCTTTATTCCAGAGATGCAGGGATGGTTCAATATATGTAAGTCAATAAATGTATAAATCATATAAATGGGCTCAAAGACAAGAATCACATAGTCATCTCAATAGATGCAGAGAAGGCCTTTGACAAAATTCAACATGCATTTATGATCAAAGTCCTAGAGGGAACTGGACTGGAGGGAACATATATCAACATAATTAAAGCCACATATAACAAACCCACAGCCAACATCATTCTAAATAGAGAACAACTGGAAGCATTCCCATTGAGATCAGGAACCAGACAAGGCTGTCCACTATCTCCACTCCTGTTTAATATAGTGCTTGAAACTCTTGCAAGAGTAATTAAAAACAATAAGACAAGATAAGGAAATTAAAGGAGTAATGGGAAAAAGGAGATCAAATTATCCCTTTTTGCAGATGGTATAAAATTTTATCTAAGAGATGCCAAAAATTCCACCAGAAAACTCCTAGAAATTATTAACACATTCAGTAAAGTGGCAGGTTACAAAATTAACCTACAAATTTCTGAAGCCTTTCTATATACCAATAACAAGCAATCAGAGAAAGAGTATATGGAAACA